TTTTTTTTTATTATTATTATTTTAGTATTGTTGTTGTTCCCTCCCTCCCCCAACCTCACCAAAGAGCTGATGAAAAAAGAGCCCCATGGTCACATTACAGGTCCCAGGGTACCTCTTGTTAGAAGAGAATAAGGACTTTTTTTGCTTTCTTCAGCCAAGCGCTCTTCTCCCAGGGCAATGCACTAAGTACCTGCCAGCTGTCTTCCATCTAGCAGGGGAAGCTCAATGCTTTTTCCGTAATGAAGGCCACCATATACATCTAAGCTATTAACTAAAAGACAAACAGGCACTTCTTTGATGGAAAGATGTGACTCTGTGAGGTAGAAATGGGTTAATAAATGTGAAAATGAATCTTACAAGGATAATGTGCCAGTGTCAAGCAGCAAAACAGCTGAAACACAGTTCCTACATCTCCTCAGGATGCATGATATTCTCATAAAATCTGGGCAGGGGAGAAACATTTGATGTCTGGCCCTACCATTTATATTTTTAGAAGGCTACACAACAATACTCTGACACCCCCTGAGGTAGCTAATGGTTCAACAGCCCTGTACAGAGAGGTTCTGTCTCCTTTCTAAGGCATACAAATCCATAAACCTTCACTGACCTGTAGTGTCAGTATGTTCCTGCCTGCAGCCCTTTTTTTCTGCTGCGTTAAAAAGCCTGATGAGACTGCTTATTGAATTTCTTCCTTTCAGCATCAAAGATACTGGCCATGCTCTCCAATTATTTAATAGATTCTGCTACAGTGGAGATCACTGATTCATTTTCACTAGAGATATCCAGTCATTGTAAAGAGCAATTATATATAATAACATCCTAGTAGTTCTCAAATGTTCTTTTATCAGACACACAGTCCAGCGATTACAGAGACAGCCAATGATCTGATATTGATAATAAAACTTAATGTCTTTGTTGTTAGTTTTACCAAAATAGCAGTGGTCTTGCTCTGCAGACCCCAGCACACTCAAAATGCAGTGGAACTGTTGGGGTTGCATTTTGTTTTGACTTATATTTATTCCATGGTCATTCCTTTAAAGCCTCACAAAAAGGTGTCTAATTCTTTTTTTTTTTTTTTCTTCTGTTCAGTAGTGCTGTCTGGAGGAACAACACAGGAAAAGGGGAGATGCTGAGCTCTAAAGCCAGCTCTGTCACTGGGCAGCCTCGAGCAAGGCATTTTGTCTCAGTCTTTCCATCTGTAAAATGTGGAGCATAAAACTTTCCTACTTAACTGCACACAAGGGGCAAAGATCAATTTGTTAATGGCTGAGCATTAGCACTGTGCACAGTCCTTTGAACATACGTGTCCTAAAAATACCAAACCTTTTTGCCCTTATTCACAGATTACTTTACAGATCCACAGATTAAAGCATTCATTTTCTAAAACTTTCCCTGATATAAAAATTCAGCAGGAGCTATTTACTGAGGCGCGTCTCTCAATGGCTCCAAGGTGGCAAGTACAAGTAAAAAAAAAAAAAAAAAAAAAAAAGAAAAAAACTTTTCCTAACCCTTCATTTGACAGCTGTGATATAGCTAAAAGCCAAAATAGACTCATGAGGTTCACAGGCTTGCTTGACCTGAAAGCACAAGTTGTGAAGAGCAAGATGAGAGCATACACCTTCCACAGACTGTTTTTGAATCCAGCCCACTGACAAAGGCTTCAGCAATGCCGGATCACATCCCAGCAGCATTTGGCTATTTGCCTGCTGTGTAGCACACTAGCATGGTTCCTGCTCAACCAGGGACTGAATCCACCAGATCCTGCTCATAGCATGTACACAGGTGAACCCTAGGGGCCGTATGGATGACATGTTTATGCATACAACAAATCCACCTAGAGCATGTCAACTAACTGCCTATGGCATACACTGTTCCTTCCCTGGGACTGGTAGCTGCTGGACATACCTCTCCAGGATTCCCCAGGCCTTAAGGAGTCAAGATTTGGTAACTGGAAGGCACCAAGTACAGACTTTAGCGGGGAATAACAAGCCATTGCTCCTCTGGAAAGAGTATGGGGTGGGTGGTCACCTTTAGTCAGTTATATTAGTTCAGATATTGCACTCAGGCTGGAGCCCCAAAGCACCACACCAAACACACCAAGTTATCCTCTAATCTTCATGCTGAAGCAGGTCAGATCTCTCATGATACCAGATAGACTGGGCACAGTGGATGTGGTTCAGCTCATACTTTTATCCTGCCTCTAATAGCAGCAAGGGAGACAGACATTCAGGAGCACAACGTGGCTCTGCAGGCTCAGTAGTCAATTCAATGACTTACATAAAGGAGGCACTAGGTGTAACCAAAACACCAGTGCCAGTGGTAGGACACTGCATGAGGCCATGGCTAGGGGCTCAGGAAGTTGAGGGAGGCTGCAGTGCTGCCAGCTGCAGCATCCCCCAGCTGCCATTTCAGCTCTGCATCACCCCTGGTTCTGGCAAAGTAACCGGCATCACTTACCTATTGCTATCTACTGCTCAATTCCATTTAATTGGAATTCATACCCTGCAAAAGCAAGAGCCTGCAGCTAACATATTCAGCATTAACCAACCTAATCTGTGCTAGTTTTCATGGTGCCCGTTTCCTGCTCCTCCCCAGTCACGCACAAGCCCTCTTAGAGGGCGCCGTGGAGCACAAATGGAGCAGCCACAGCAGCGGCAAGGGCAGCTGGGGAGCAAGCAGGGGAAGGAGTTGTGCTTGTCCACATGGTCTCTCTACTTCATATTTAACTCCACAGCCATTTTTTCCATGCCAGGCAGCTGTGAGGCTCTGTTAATACACCGCCTGAAATCTATTTTCATCTAGCATTCAGAACATGACTGTAAGTGGTTTATTGTTGTCATACTTTTAGATTACTTTAACTTTAGGAGCACTGCCTTTCTCCTCTTCATTTTTCCTGGCAATACACACTACTTCTCTTCCCTGTAAGGTGAAAGATGTATAGACTGCTAGTTGTCAGTGCTTGCAAGTAGCCATTTAAAAGCAGATATTTTTTGTCAGCATTTTTATTTGTGAAGCCGCTATGACAGATTTGGAAATTGAAGCCCTTGATTTATCTCCAGGCTGAAAACTAGACAGAGGCAAGGACACTGTGAGCCTTAGGAACGAAATTACAAACATGTCATTACCTCCTTTAATCTGCTCTTGTTTCTGTGAAATTGCTCCAGACAACCCCCAAAATCCATGCACTTTTACAACAGAAAAAAAAAAAATCTTTTCAAGCTATTTTCCACTTGTATTATTTGAGGCTACTCACTGTTAACTTGTGAAAAAACAAAGGTTAGTAAATATACTGCTTTTTAACATGTGTAGGGAGCTAAGCCAAAAGACGATCAACATTCAAAGCAGCCATATCTACATAAACACACTTGGTTCCCCCCCATTTTTTATTTTATTTTTTTTTAAATCTTGTTTGACTCACAGGAGAAAGACTGTTAGATAGCAAGTCAGACTTGTACTCAGTTCAGGCTACATTTGGCATAATGCAACGTAACAGCTGGCACATTGAAGCCATGACAGACAGACTCCAATCAGGGTTCGTGTGATGGGAGTAGCAGGGGTTATTGCAAAGCAGAAGCAAGAGGCATCAGAGGAGCTATAGTGAGAAAGCGGCAAAGAGCCCAAATCCCCTTTGCCTACTCAAGCCATTTCTGTTAGCTCTTCCTTTCCCACTGCACTATAAACCTACACAGAAATTAGAAGAATTACTAAATGTATTAGTTTGTATTGTTACCCATGTGACAACATCCATGGATGACTGAAAGAGATCTACTGTGATGAGGAAGGCTTGAAGGGAGTTGCACATGGCTACATGAAGTACTGTCCCTTTCCTGAGCCAGCCCCCACATAGATGCTGGCACTTGTGGCAACTCCTAGGAGAGTCGTGCCAAGTGGAAAATTGCATTGCCTTAGCTGGGTGTATAAAATTCCCTTCTCAGCAAGAAGTACTCTGGTCACCCTTAAGCTATTCAGCTCTGAGATGGCCATCCGATGCCATGAGAATGGATGGCCTCATGCTTTGTGCATTTTGCCGAGATGCAGAAACAGTGACAGACCTCATTTTGTCTCAAAATCAGACAGTAAACAGCAGCAACGGTGCCTCACATAAGTCTAGCTGGGTAAAGAACTGGCATGCCATGGAGGAGATCTTATTTCACCTCAGATCTGGGAGAAGGCCAGTCCACCTGGAAAATTCAGAGACCACAGCTTGCAGCACCTGTGCAGCCAGCACAACTGAAACAAAAGCAGTCCAGAATAGTAGGAGGAGTGCTTTTCTCCCTCCTTTTTCAAGTTATTTGACTTTGCAGAAGAAACAGCAGGTCCCTAGCTGTTAACCTGAAGTTATTCTCATCATCATTGACCCAGCGAAGCTGCAATCTTATTTATCCAAGAGCTGGCAGCAGTGACAAACAGACCCTGAAGCAAACGTGGGTGCCTGTGGAGCCATACCACTTTACAGGAGAGCACTTGTGCCAGAACTGAGAAGACTGACACTGGGGAACACGCAACCCCATTACCCTTCCTGGTAAATCTGCTGTCTGACCTGCTTTCTGGAAGAGGTTCAGGTAGAAGGCTCCAGTACTGAGCCCAAATGAATTGTTGATTTATTATAGGCTCAACTAATTTGGCAAAGCTCCAAAGAAGGGTGGAAGTTCAGACATATCCCTTTTAAAAGCATTTCCTGCTATCTAACTCACCACATTGATTTTTTAAAATGTGTCTGTTGTCAGAGGGCTGAGGACTATGTCCCAGGAATCCAGATCCACCTGACTGGCACTAGCCTAGAGCTCTAAATGTCTCTCTGGGACATAGGCACCAAAGGTCACATCAACATATCCCTTTAATCTTTACATCCTTTTACCAGTCCATCCCTTTGCCTTCAGACTCCTTTCCATAACGTGAGAACACTACTCACTCCTTCACACAGACCTCCTTTAAAAATAGAAACAGTAATCGGTGAGAAAAGTTGGATGCTGCACCAAGCTAAGGTTAGCTATACTCACTGTCATGCTGCTGGGCTTCAGTTGTCTGTCAGAGGTATGATCACAGAGTGCTGGAAGCGAGACTAGAACCCATTATCAAGAAGGCCAAGACTCAAAAACAAAATGGGGAAAAAAAAATAAAAAAGCACACTGATGATACGCTACTAATGTAAAAATCAAAAAAGACACAGGCCTGAGTAAGGCACAAATAAACAAAAATACATAGAAAACTGTAATGAGCAGAACCTTAAAAACAGAAGGCTTCATGCATAAGCACAAAATAAATAACTACCACCTCCTCCCCTTTCTCTCTTTGCCCCTATGTCTCCCAAGTAAGCCAGCTGTGAAGGACAGAAGCTGAGGTCAATGACAGTCAATGCCACAGTAAAGGCAAGGCTAAGCGTCCCCACCTGAGAAGCCAATCAGTCAAATGAGAAAGTGACATGCAAAACCTGTGTGGAAGGAAAGCAAGGAAAGGGAAGGACCAGGCATTACCAGAAAAAAGAAATGGTGCCCAAATTTTGACTTCCTCTCTTTAAAAAAGTATTATTCCTATCAGAAGGTGAAGCTGCACTGAAGAATTCAAATCTGTGATGGAATCATCACAAGCAAAATAATAAAAAAAAAAATTAATCACCAAGGATTAATGAAACTCCCATTGTCATTATCCAATTGGGCCAACTTAATGATGTTTGCTATTATTAGGTACTTAGGTTGGAAGTTGCCTTCCCACATAAAATTGATCTTTATGATGAATGAATCAATTTGCTTCATAACTTGACCATAACAATGTAGAATTCTAGCTGTAAATTACCATTTTAATCTTTCATTTATGGCATAAATACTCTTTATTGCACAATACTCATAGTCTTGCATATTAACTATGCAGTGGAATTTACTACAGGCACATAATTTCTTCATTTATATGGTATTTTGTATTATTTGGGAACAGGTAAATTTAAAACACATTATTACATAGCCTCCACTTTGGAAAAGATCATTTGAGATAAATACCTCAGAGTGTAATTTCAGTACCTAGCATTAAAATTAAGTCTTCATCCACTTGTATGGATTATGACTAGAGCAGAACCATTCTCATGTCAGTGAGATGAGAATCACATCCACAGTATGGAAAGATCACTTAATCTGATTTTTTTTTGTTGTTGTTGTTCTAGAACTTATGATTGACAGAGTGCCTTATTACACTTTTTTTTTTCCCTTAACTTTAAGAATATCAAATGAAATTAATCATAGCCTAGAGGAGACAGTTCGAAACCTGCTAAGAATTATATTTGTCAGTGCAAGCTTTACAACTCACTTGGACTAATTTGCTACTGGCAAATATATCACTGTCATATACTTCTGTAAACTTCGCATTTGCAGTCTTTTGAACTAACCGTACAAGCTGAAGCACTGGTTTTAAATTCTAAGAGTTTAAAGGTCTCTAACTCTGCAGTAGCTCCAGTAAAGATGTATTGTTATATTACCAGATCTTCTCGTAATACTTATTGTTTCACCCATATCAGAAACACAGAAAGAATGGGGAAAAAAGTAGAAATTGACTACTTCTAAATAAAGCAGTGAGCAGCTGAAGTGAAAAACAAACCAACAAACAAACAAAACAAAACAAACAAACAAAAACAGAGGAAATGAAATCTGTACAGGAAAACATGTATTGTGCAAATAGGTTGTATATTAGCATCATGCAGCATCCTTAATATCTTTATTATTATTATTAATTGGTTTGTATGTTGCTTCATCTTTCTTGGCTTGGTTGTGTTATGATACACTGAGACTATCCAAACCTCTTATAACAGAAAAGCAAAAGTTAGAAGAAAGTCTCCAGCAGTTTTTGTCATTTCAATACCTGTCACTACTGTCAGTTCCCTCCAAGTTATTGATTTCTATTTGAAACAAATAACAAGAACAATAGCTATGCTATTAAAACTCGTGCTCTAAAGCAAAACCTTAATTATGACCTCATATTCTCTTGAGTCAGGATATTGACACATCTGACTGTCACACCGCCCATCTGCTTCCAAAGTTGTTTTGCCTTTACATTGCTGAAGACACAAGGTAAAGGTGCTGATATTACAGCAGGAGATGAGTCCTGTGGAAGACATGTTTTTTTCTGGTCGCAGGATTCAGAGGTTCCTGCTTATTTCCAAACTAGGCATTATAGTTCCAACTCTGTCAGATATTTGAACTGGGGTTATTAATAAATTCAGTAGATCCTGCTGAATTCAGTTGATTTATATATGTGATTGTTGCAGATTTTTGTCTTCCTGATACCGCCTTAACATAAAGGCAAATCAAATAGGATTTATTATAAGTGCTAAACTAATGCCTAAGTAAGCAGCAAAGGCTGATTTTTAACATGAGAATCTCAAAGTGCTTTAAAAGGGTGTCTTAAATATTACCTCAATTTTATAGAATGGAAAGTGTGGTGTGGAATGGATACCAGACTTGATTAAAAAACAAACAAACAACAACAAAACCCAGAAAAACCTAGAATTCCTGATTTTGCTTCTGTTGGTTGAAAAGCTTTGAAGAAAACACCCCCAAAAGTAACTACACCCCCTCAAAAAAACAGGTTGACCCAAAATGTATATGCATATATACAGAAAGAGAGAACAAAAAAAAAGAAAAAAAAAAGTTTCAGAGAAGTCTAGGCACTTAAACAAATATATTTAGAGAAATCAGTGCATATATCTCAAATTTTGAGATCAGGTCAGATGTAGATATGTATTCTCTAGTTTAGCTGCTGTGGGATTTTTGGTTAAAAAGAGGCACAGGCACTTTGGTAAGTGAGACAATCCTCAGCCTCATTCATCACAGCTCAAGACCCCTCTGAGATGTCATTTTGCAATATGCATTTCGTCTGTGTGAATAGGCTTTCAGATTCATTACAGTAGGAAATGATAAGAAACCCAGGTACTTCCAGGCCTTTTTTTTTTTTTTTTTTTAAGGAAAAAAAAAAAAAAAAGTAAAACCTTTGCAGTCCTTTGTTTCTTAATGTTTTCCTCGGATTTTTCAATACTGGTCATTTTCAAAGTGTGTTGCCTAGTACATGTCAATTTAGAAAAGAATATGGCATATCAAGAATCTAAAGGATAACCTCAAGAATTTTTTAAGCTTTTATTTTCTGTGCATAGGAAAAGGAAAATCTCCTGGTGAGAGATGATGAGCAAAGGGACCTCTCACGCAAGAGTCTTGCCGAGACACTTCTGCATTCAGTTTGAAGTCTGGTTCACTGTTAAGGAACTGGTGCTGTAATACACACCAGCCAGCTAGACGAAGCTGTTAGAGCAGTCCCATCACACAAGACTTAGCTGGATCTTGGTGCCAGCTCAGTGCCTGCCAAGGATTTTGTTTTTCACAGCAAACTGTGCATTTGAGTGGCCGTTTGGCCAGCAAGAAGCAAAGGAATGCAGGTTAGTCACACTGTGCTGGGCACTGCATTCTTTAGAAATCAGTCACATGCATTTCTTAGAGCTCAGCGCAGCTACTGAGAGCAGCTCTACTTGGGGAATTTTATAAGGACGTTTAATTCCCAGACCTTTTCCTGCATTCCCACAACTCTCTCACATAACTACTTCTCAGCAATATCTGCTCATGATTTTCCTCTGTCATATTAGCCAAATTCTCCTGTAGTCTATCACAAAACATCCCATAAATTCCAGTAAACAAATACGCTCCATTATTTTTTTCCTGCCCAGCTGTAATTGCACATTTTCTAACTTGAAGCATTTCACTACTGGTACATGACTATGCCAGACACTCATCCTTCCCACTATCATCCCACTCCAAATTTCTAGGCATTAGCTTTATAGCTTGTGTCTTTGAAGAGCTCATAAATGCTACTAATGCTACTGTAATGCTACATGCTACTAATTTTTTCCTAGGCTAGACAAGATGTGGGACACTCAGCAAGACTGTAATGCTTCTTGCATTTTTTTTTTTTTCAGATGGCTCGGATGCTGCCTGATGAGAACTTTGACATAAGAGGTCATTTGAACTGAGGGGTGAGGAGACAATAACAAACCCCAAACTAAACTAAACTCTTCTTCACTCCTTGCCCAGAATGACACTACATCCAATCCTTTTGAAACAGCAGTAATTGGGTTCTGTGTTTCCTTACGTCCATCTGTATCAGGAGTAATTTCACAGAAGTCCAGAGAGTCAGGCAGATTTTGAAGTGAGCTAGCTTTAATAGAAGTTGAATTTATTTCTGAGGTTCTCTCTTTCACCTTGTTTAGTATATACATGATGTTTGCCAAATCATTGTTGGTTCTTTATTAGAAAAAATAAATCAAACCATAAATTAGCTCACTCATCAGTGATACGGGGTGGCAAGGGCTGTCCTTTATTCATTTGCAATGATCCCAGTTTCTACAGAATACTTCATTTCCATTTGCAAGAGAATTTCATGACTAGTACAATGAACTCTGTGGCTCATGAAATTCTGACATTGATCCTCCCTCCTTTCTTTTGGTTAATTGTAACAAATTTCATTGCCTTGTTGTAAAGGAGATTATTTCAGGGAAGAAAATTCCTGCCCTGGATATATAAGAAGGTGACAGATTGCCAAGTTTTTTTCTCTTGAGCATATTAATAATGTACCAAGGTTTAGCTTCTTTCTGTATGAATTTAATAGAAGGGTTTAGAGTGCCTTTTAGCTAATAAAGAAGTGAGGATGTCTGGGAGTCACTTTTTTTCTATTCTTTTTGGCAAGCACCCGAGTAAGTGGGTGGCAGCTGGTTACAAAGGCTGCAACTGTACTTGCCATTTTCTTGTGAAAGCTGAAGCAAAGCCCTGGCCTGAAGCAATTGCTGCTGAGTTTCTTATGTCTCCAGTATGGTTAGGGAGCAGAATTATGCAGATGCAAATATTTATATCAAATATGCTAGTTCTAATTGAAGCTGCTAGTATAGTTATACCCCAGAAGAATAAGGAGGGCTTAGACAGTGTCATAATTTCTTGTTAGTTATGGGGAGGATGTCTCTTGTGGCTACAGAAACCTCAAGCCTTTTGCTTTATGCTCTACCATATATTTTATGCTGAAGGTGTTGCCTGTAGGCGACCCGCTCTCTCCTGGACTCCTTACTTTTGTGTGTGTTTTCAGTGGTACTCTTTGATCAGTTTGAAGGCCGCCTGTGAGTGACATTACAAGTCCTTTCTGCCAGGAACCTGATGTGATGCCTCCTCAGTCCCAGCTCTGGGGACTTTAAGGCATATCAGTAGCACCGAGTGACACTGTCAGTCTGCCATCGTCTTCTCTTTCAGAGGCCTTTTTCTTTCTCTGCCTTTGCTTTGAAATTTCTATTTCATTCCTTTCCTAAGCTCTCAGGACTTTTTGTCATCTTATCTGAATCTTTGGCTACATCCCCTTTCTTTAATTGTGAACCTCATGAGGCTTGCACTGCTGGGTGAGGTAGCATTGAAGCACTTCCTCCTGCCATCAATTTTTTTTTCCTTACTTCTGTCATATTTCTTGTTCTTTCCCATCCCACCCAGCCTATATAGTTCTCTTCCCTCTATTCCCAGTTCCTCACAGGAGCATTTATTTGTTAGCTTTGTGCATTAAAGGGAAATACCTTTCTGTCCGTTTTTGCCCTACGACAAGGCAGGATTGTCATGATTCATTTCCTGAATGAAAACTTAGATTCAAGGCCCCAAGGGAATTGAAACTAGCTACACTATATTTCCCTTCCACTCGGAAGGAAATAAAAAATGATGCTGGCAGAGAAAAGTATGTGATTTGGTGGTCAAATCATACAGTGATCTGGTGCTCCTGCTGACACCAGCACTCTGCCAAGCTGCAGTGCAGCCGAGGAACAGCAGCACAGCCAACATCCCAGGGGCAGCAAATGGCAGCTTCAGGGACTGATGTTGAATCTCTCTCCCACTTGAGTAAGTATGGCCTAGCAGAGTATGGTGGGCAAATCCAAACTGTTTTCCCTCACCCGCTTTTGATAAAGTAGGGCATTCCTTAGAAAGCCTGAATATGCCTCCTGGAGAGAACTGTTCAACAAAAATTGCTTATCAATGAGTAAACTGAGTATGAGTTTACCTGTGCTGCACAAAGCATCAGTAGCAGCTGTACAGGTGTAAAACAAATGTGGAAAAGAGAAAGCTGTATCCTGAGAGACCACAGTAGGTATGAAATCATGAGCTTGGAACAGTAGAACAAGCTACCTACTTGGGTGAGGACAAGGCATGGAAGAATTCATGACATAAGTACTGTCTCTATATGTGTTCACGTCTACATGTCTTTGCACTTCTGCCAATGTGTGAGCTCATGCAACCTGAAGAACAAAACCCCTAAATTATAGCGCACTGCAAATTTCTTACAGAACCACAACCCTGCATTCACATTTCAGTAACCTGTGTTACTGAACATAACACATAACACATTTCAGTAAGCTTTCTTATGCTCCCTTAACCACCTGTCAGAGAAGAGGCTTATGATGTGTAAATGAGTCTCTGTAATGACCTAGTGACCTTCTTCCCTTCTACTCAGTGAAAAGATGTAGTGCTCAAAGAGGATTTCATCTGCTGTATAAGGGTTGTTGTAAAGGGGGAAGATACTAACATTGTTTTTTTTCTGGCTCAAGGCACCAAAGGAGTGGTTATGGGAAACAATAGCTCAATCTCAGAACTGTCCAGTGTCACAGGATTACTTCTCACCTAGATCAACTTCAGCATCCACATGCAAACAGGGAGCTAACCTATCAGATGTGCTACAGTCGTGCTAGCTGAAAGAAGAGGGTGCAAGTCTCAGTTGCATCCTGATTAACATCCTGATTTGTGCATTGCTGTGCCTCTGTGGAAGGCCAATAACAACTCCCAAGCTGACACAGCCATATTGCTACCCTCCCAACAGGAGTACTGCTGCCCTTCTCTACAACAGCAGCTGTGACCTTTGCATCTTGAGGCAAGATACCCGAAGGCAGTGGCAGCAATTCTTCATCTATATGACTTCTCAGGTGACGTACAGCAGCACCCTCAAAGGTGTGCAAAACTTGGCTGCATTTTCTTAGCAACAAGCAGGCTCAGCCTGCTCTCCACAGGCTACATTGGCTTTCTATGTTGTTGTTTTTTTTTTTTTTTTTTTTTTTTTTTTTCTGACCATCATCAGTAACTTTATTATTCTAGCACAATGAGGGTTTTATTAGGAGAACAACCTAAGACTGGAACATTGAATCCCACAGGAAGAAGTGACCATCACAAACTACCAGTTTATTCTCCAAGTACAAAGTTTTTTATTTTTTTTTAATCTACACTTTTTACATAAACATAGGGAAAATATCAAAATAAATGAATAAATAAGACACAATGCTTCATTGCACACATACTCCTCTGCGGGGAGTGGATGAGAAAATAAATATGACAGCTCTTAGTCATGTTGCTTACTGCTGTTCTGGAGGGTAATCTCATACTACATTACCGAGTGCAATATAATGATGTGCTTTAAGTGAATCACATCATGGTATATGCACTTTTGTCTCCAAGGTGAGCATTAGATACTCCGGAAAAAATAAAAATGCACTGGGACAACTGCAATGTTATAAGGGATATTTTCTTTTTCCTGAGACAGAGCTGAGACAGAACTAAAAGCCCTTACAGAAGGTATACTACCCCTTTTAATTCTCTGTACTTCCTGTTCAAATTAAACTTTCCAAGTTTAAATTCTGATTTGCTTGTTTCTTCTTCTTCCTCCCTTCATATCTTACATACGCCTATCTTTCCATAAGTCTCATCAACCTAAAGTCTCTTAAAATGGCAGGGTTGACAGGTTTGCTGGGTGTGTTGGCATCAGTGTTTTAGAAAACTTTTCTTGCTGTTCAGTAGCTCTGTGACTCTGCTGGTTGGAGCAGTTTCTTTTTTTACCCCTCGTAGCTGAGGCTCTAGAACTGAATACAGACTGAAAAGAATAGCAGCAGCCTGTCAGGCTCCCCTTTGGTCCTACACCTGCAGAGGGACAAACCTGTCTCCCAAGCTCCTGGCATGGGCACAGCTTTTCCTCCTCTCCCTGTGTCCTCCCTCCTCCACCCAGCCAGCTGGCATGACTTGGAGGACGTGCTCCTCAACAATACACCAAGCAGGGATGGTTCCTCTCCTCGCCAGCTGACATCAGTGCTAATTTCCTGTAAAATGCCACAGAATAAAGAAGAGGGTTCTTTCTAAAAATCTTTCCGGCTTGCTTAAAAACACTGTCTTGTTTTTTCCTCCAAGCAGACTGCAGAATCAATAAGGCCCTAGCCTCTTAGTCTTAAGCAGCAGAGAAGCTGTTGTGACCAACTCAGCAGAAGCAAAAGCTAAGGTAAGTAAGTAGCCCAGAGCTAATCAAAAGTGCCCTCCCGTGGCTCAGGATGTTGCCAAGTGCTTAAAGCAGAACCAGAAAGCAATGTCGCATGACTCTTTTGTCAAGCAAGGAACCATGACCATTATCCCCCCTTGATTATCTCTGAGTTTCCTTAATTGCACTTACCTTCACCTTGCACTTACCAGCAGAGCTTGGCCAGGTGTTGTTCTGTAACACTACTTTTGAAGGTGGTGTATCTTCATATAGATGACTGATAACTATTAAAAGAGGTGAGTGGTCTGTCTTCTGCATCCATGCATAACATGACAGCATGGTACAGAAACTGTATTTAATGAAATTTCAAGCAACCTTTATAGTTTAAAAGAAATGTTTGTTTTCACTTGTAGTATTCCCATTGAAGCAAAACAAAGCAAAATGAAACAAATCCAAACAAAACAGAAATGCTGTCTTTTAATACTTTGGGGTAAAGGGAAGGCAGGTATTTTTTAGCTGTTGATAAAAGAAGCATTCACAGATTTAGGGCTCCTATTTTTCTATTTTTTAAGAGATTCATGTGAGGGGTTAGGGTAATCAATGCAAGAATCTACTCTGAGATCCAGAAAGGCACAGAGCAAAATGCAGTTATCTCTCATAAAACTTTTGGCTGAAGAAGGGGAAAAGGACAGTTATAAAAGAACAGCTTGAATGCAGAAAAGTATAAATGCACTGGTGGATTGTGCCATTTGGCGGACAGTGTCTTTTTCTGTAGGTACACTGACAATTTTCAACCTGCATTGCCTTAACTCATGGGCAAATAACTTATCTTGAATTCTGCATAGCTGTTGTATTTAAAAAGCATGGTATTGCACATTATAAATTGCTTAAGGGAACATATTTTCGTTTAGTAAAAAGAAATAATAAGGACAAATCTGACGAATGCAACAAGTCTGTATAGTTCTCAAATGCAGGCTTACTTTGGGTCATAGGAAAATTGCCATCAGAGATGCACAATAGCACAGGCACAATAGCACTGGTACTAGTGCTCTTTGCACAGAGGCACTAATTTATGCTAGTGTCCCCCTCTACATCTGGGATTTGTTTCTTTTTCATAAACATGGACCCTCTCAAAATTTCCTCTTCACATTAAATTTGTCTCTCTTCCTTTGACCCCAGTGGCCTTGTTGTCCTTTACAGCATCAATTCAAGCATGGTAAGTGGTATAGAAAACCTTGCATGAATTCTTTCTCTCCTTCAGGGGGATGAGCCACCATTCAAGTCCTACACACTCAAATGCCTGTGCATTTCAGCTCTTGACCTCTTCAGAAGCATGAGTTTCTCCTACAGTGAGGACAGCATCTAAAAGTTGTTACTTTGTCAGTCAGAAGAAACTATAAAACAGTACATAGTAAATAGTCTACAAACATTAAATGATATAATTTATAATTATCTGAAAAACACCACTCTCACAGATTATTTTCTTAGATAATTGTTTATAATCTCAGGATTAATATTTAAAGAAGTATATGATTATAAAAATTCTATCAGAAACAGCAAAAATGGCTCAGCAAACAGTCTGTGTGTACAGCCACTGGTCTAAATCAACTCCACTGCCAAACTGGCAAGCATCAGGAAATGTATTAAATGAATAGACAATTCAGAAATGTCCAACAGATAACTAAAATTGAAATTTTATTTTTTTTTTTCAATAATATTCATCAGACATTTTTCTGACAAGACTTTTCTGAAAGATGAAGTGCAAATGGGAACCCTGTAAGAATGTTCAGAAGAATTGTACATGACATTTTTTAAGCGCCACTAAGTACACATTGAATACTTTGTAAGTATATAGGCATAGCAACATGCAAGTGTCATGTACCTAACATTACAATATGCATTTTGTCTGCTTAAAGTTGTTAATGAGGAAATTAAATATAGTAAATGTGTCTCCATCAGCAGTGCAATATGTTTAATTCCCATGTTTTTTTTTAAAGGTTAGTGTTTTTATTTTTGAACCGTTAAAATGTATCCTTCCAAAGGCCATAAACTGCCAGTATAAGGACAGAGTATATTGGTCTTCTTAAGAAAATAGACTTATACTGACTATGAACACATGAAGTTGTTATAGTAATTTCACAAATTATGCCTTTTTATTTATTTTAGAAAAGTTCCTGCTGAACTGATTTTATATATTTGTTTGTTTGTTTGGTCATTATAAAATACCTGGGCTAAAAGAAGAGGATGCACAATGAATGCTTTATAATTCTGTTCCTGAAGAACTAAATAGCAACTCAAACATGCATTAAGGATTTGAGCCTCATTCTTTTGAAATCAATAGGCATATTGTATCCAGCTTTTAAGGAAGCAAGACGTATATGAATCCAGTAACCCATGAGTTCACTCTTGGCTCACTGCAGAGGCAGAAGCAGATGACTGTAGGTCATATTTGCTTATTCCTATGGATGTTATATAGGGGTATAAGGAAATCTGCTTTTACTGAAAAAGGATAGTATGTGCAACTATGTATTTACTAACATTAATTAATATTCACGGAAAGGAAGGAAAGAGGAAGTGCTAAAGAATTCAGTCGAGCAATTAAAATTTTTTCTCCTCTTAATAATCAACACTGACAGTTTATGATGTTCACTATTATTTTCTTTATAAAAACCCTCTTTTTGAATGTATTATGAAGACCCTTCAATGGTTTCATTATAGACTAGGACTAAGAAAATGCGTGTATCTAGAAGAAAATAGTATCGGTGATTTTCAGCACTACGCATAAGAGCAGGGTAAGGCTGTGTGTAGTTTGTGCTGAAATGTGAGATCAGAGCTCACACACGAAACACTGCTGGCTTAACCCTGAACACAGGGAAAGTGCTGAAGTGCTGACCCCAACAGGCTTGGCTGTACATCTGAAATCTTAAAAATAAATAAATAAATAAAAATTAATCCTCAAACTTTTTTCCAATAGTAACACAGACTGCTCCTTTCAGAAGGGAGGCTTTGTTTTATACTTCCATTCCAATCAAACTGCTGCTTTTAGCCAGCAGAGAATAAATGACTTAAGACACAGAACAAGGAGGGATGATCTATGGTAAACACGGAAGTCAAAAAAATTTTTTTTTCCTCCCATCTGCTGAAAGAAACCCTGCCTCAGGTATCCCCTAGTACTGCAGAGACACTGTACTGGCTCTACACTACTTTCTGTCTGGTTGTGAGTACATTAAACAGTGCTGAAGAAAATGAACATGGTATGGAAATAAGGTGATTCCTAGATGCTGGAATAATTCCCTTAAGGGCTGCTAGAAGCGCATGAAGCTTAGAGCATCCCAAAAATGTGGAGCGATACATAAGTGTGCTGTTAAACCATGTTTGTACCCTTATTTCCTCCTGAGATAAAGCAAGTGCAGAGTGCTGGGTGAGATTCATCGACAGAGGAAGGAACTGTGCTAGCTTCTGTCAGCACTAAGTAGACATCTCTCATTTGCATTAGAAGTAATAGGTCAGACCCACTCTGAACAATCATGTAGGAAATCATGTAGGAAGTGCCACTTCTGGTAAGAGCTTCTACTCAGCTCTGTTGACATCAAAAGCTGCTCTGTCCATTTAATTTTCTCTTATTGTTTCCAATAGTCCTTCCCTGTCCCCCATGCATTGAATGTTTTAATGTAAACATGCTCCAGCAATATTATGTTTAAATACAAGTAAGAGACATCCCAGAATATCTCAACAGTATTGGTATTGCATATTTAATTCAAAAGCTTGCATGTGCTTTAAAAAAGTTTCTCTTCAAAATTGCATGCCTTTTACTGGAAAGAAACGTGTTGCAGTTGGATTGCATGTCATTGTCTTGTACCGACTAAATATTGAAGTGTTATAGCAGTTTATTTTTAAGCTGTTTGGGATGAATCCCCAGCCAGTGTAAATTGGCCACACATTTAAGGCAATAGAGTGAAGCTGATTTATACCAGCTGAGGCTGTGTCCTTATGCCCTGTTATAGTCTCATAATATCCCAAAGTTAGTAAAGAATAGGGCAAGTATCATATCATGAACCCAGGCAATATTTTCTGTCTATTTTTAGCAGAAAAAAAAAAATATATATATATATAATTATCTTATTTCAAGACTACATCAAACACTCAGTAGTAATTTAAAATGTATATAAATATCTCATAGATAGTATTTAGACTAAGAGGTAGATGTCATATTCTAGGAACAGTACAGTGCGGAGTGATGCTAATGGTAATTGCTAAATGCATCTATTTGCCTGTTACATATAACACAAAGGAGGGTTATATAGTAATGGCAGAAATAATAAAAAAAAGGCTTACAATATTCTTTTCTTCTTTTGCTATTGTATGTTATTTGCCTTTATCTGTCTTTCAGTGCATTCTTTCTAGTAGGGTCTGATGGAAAAGTGGCAAGAATAAAAATGATCAGTAATACAAAACTCCACGTTTACAAAACGTTAGCTTTATTATTAAAGGCATCCTCTTTACTCTGATGGAAGCATTTGGTACTTACAACTTAAGATTGCCTGGCGTTACTGAGCAAGTAGTGGAAATTCCAGGTGAGGTGATTCAGCAAAATAGGGGTCAGGAGAACGCAGTTCTCGCTCTCTTTCTCTGTTGTTCCTGCTAAAAATACCAGGGCATATGGCAGCATATTTCAGCATTTTAACATACTAGGCTCCCTTGAGGACAGAAAAGAAGAGGAAGTTTGTGCTGTTGAGCCAGAAATAGATTACTCAACAGTGTTGCCAGACACATGGAATACTGGCAGCAAAGTTGTTAGCAGAGTCAGTGTCTTACTTTGCCTAAAGGTGTTTCAGTGGTATTTAATGGACCTTAAAGAGGTGGAAATTAGAGCTAGTGGGAATGAGAAGTGGTATAAGCATTTTTATAAATTAGTTGTAGAGGAATTACACATATTGCATTAGGATATCAACTGCTTGTATATGTACCTTTCAGGTATTCCTCGTGACTGTTAGGGGTTGTCTCCTGCTTGAAATAATCAAAATGCATATTATAATTACATGGTTTTCCAATATCCATACACAGCAAGTACAAGATACTTACATGTAAGTACACTGTATTTACCTATATTTTTGCATAGTTTTTAGTGTGTACTTTGTGCCACTTAATAAAAAGCATTACTCACATATTTTTTGTTTCCTTTTTCTCTATTAGGCAGCTTATTCAATTAAAGTTGAAGTAGATGGATTTTTGGTATGTTCATCACAGATTACCAGTTCCTAGGAGTGTAGAGATCAGACACTTGGAGGAGTCTGGATAAGCGGTGGGGGAAGCTGCAGCGTGAACATGAAGATTTAAATCACCTCCTTAATTAAGAAATGTAGTATCAGATTTATGGTGCTGATTTTATAAACTTACCTTTAATTTGAATGGAATTGTAAAGGTAAGAACTCTGCTTTCCTTTTGGTAACACTTTACAATAAGTGGCACTAAATTACACTATTACGGCTATGTTACAGGGAAGTACATGTAACTACGCTGTAACTGTTGATATAGCTACTGTACATGTGCGTACATGGTAACTTCAGTGCTGTTACAATCATGAATTACATAATTACAGATGAATCTGTCCTTTTTTTTTTTTTAATTGAAATAGATATATATATATATATTATACTGTAATGAAAATACACAAGATGTTAACTTTCATGTCTTATTTAGAAAAGTTGGTTTTCTTCACGTATTCCTTTATAGAGGGAATCTCAGTGCAAGATGAACCATCCTTAAGTAACGTGAAAGCTTTTTAAAGTGTTCTAGCTTAAATTCTGAGCCTCAAGTTAAACATCAGGTTCCTTAAACCGTTTCTTGCTTTGTCAGTTGACACTAAAAGAGTGGGAGGATGCACCCCTTGTCTTCTGATGCATCACTTTCTTGTTCTTGAAGCATTAGGAAAAACGTTAAATTAAAAACAAAAACAAACATTAAAAATGTAGAAATAATCAGCAATCGATACTGTAAACAGTACACTGGCAGAAACTAGCTACCTGGTCTTGAGAAAACTACTCTGCATGTGCATGTGAGAGAAGTCACAAACATTTTATCTAAGGTGGTTCCCATTCAGAGCCTCCATTTTATGCATTTGCTAGATACCTTGAAACCATCATCAAAGGGGACTTTCAGAATGGGATCTTGAATGAATGAAACAGACAACGGGTTAAAAAACAGCCTACTGAATATCCTTAGCTTTGAGTCATGGTTCTGCTTACAAGAGAATGATGCCTCTTCACACCTGGTGTAGTAATTTAAATCTGTGAGGACTAGATAGGCTTGTAAAGTGCTACCCAGTCAGAATTTGTCATTTATGACTGCTTGTTGTGGTGTTTTCTGCATCTGCTTTGCACAGATGTAAGCGACATCACAAGGTACAAGCTAACAGAAGATCAACTGCATTAAAAACCCGCACATGTGAGAAACTGCAATTGAAAACCAATGAAATATTCCATTTCAACAGGCCAATTTATATCTGTTTTTGCAAAATTTAAATGCTGTTTTTATGCCACTGGAGAAAATGGTTCAAAACAGTTACCCCTAGGGCAATCTTGCCTGACCTTGGTTGGGTAATGGTTCAAGTAATAACCCTACTATTCAAGCAAGCTGGAACTAGGAAGAATGAAAAAAAAGGCATAAATACCACACCTGTGGGGAATTCCACTTGAGCAAATAAGGCCCTTGTCCAGGGAAGCACTTCTTTTTACGCATTAGAATAGTGCCTTACAGTTCAATGGAACTTCTCCCATGCCTGACGCTGAGCATGTACTTAGATGCTTAGCTGAGCTGGGCCCCAGGTCCTGAAATAAAACCTTGTAGTATATGATATTGTACTGTAGCTAATGGGACTTACAGTTGTGTCAAGAACCCATATTTTTGGTACTAAATAGAATGACTTCCTTTGCCAGCCTTCTTATATGTATGTGTTTTGAAAGACATGAATATCTTGTAAACCTATACTAGTTTTCAATGTGTCTAGTAGCACCTACCTGGTTCTCTCAAACTACCATATTATATTAACATATTATTGCATTTTTCCACAGATGGGTATGGAGTGAACTGTAAAAACAAGCATGCAATCACATCAATGCAGACTTATTTCTTTAAAATGTCATACTGTATATGATTTATTATGTTAACACTCAACCACATCATATTATTTATGTCTGTATATTTTGAAAAAAAGTGCTGCTTTGATTGACGTCACCCTTTTTTCTTAGAAATCAACAAGATAAATGCTTCAACAAAAACAATTAAAATACTCTAATATTGTCCTTAAAAGGTTTATATTCTTCTGATAAATAATCTGACAGCACCTTTATCTTCCATTTTACCATACTACATGATGTCATATTCCAAACTCTCCTTTTCCCACACAAAAATAAAATCCCAGGAGAAGGTCTTTTACAGCAGACCATCATGCTTTTAGGCTTCACAAGTACAGCAACCAGAGAGAAATATTCTTCTGTCAAAGGTGCAAAACTTAGGAGTACAACAAACTCCATTGAGACTAACTTGCATTCTCCAGTGTAGAATCATTACCAAGAGCTGATATGGCAACCTTGTTGCTTCATTGGAAGAGGAAATAAGCCAATGGGCTTATAGTGTTTTGTTGTCGTAGTTAAGAGCATGTAATTTTTCAGCTGTTAATTACACAAAAAATTTCAGAAATAACCCAAACAGAGACTTTCACTGTGGAGCTAAAAGCATGGCAGGAATTCTCTATCATTCACGGTGACATAATTTTGTACCTCACAAAATGCATAGACAGGAATTTAATATAAAGAATTAGTCCATTTACTGTATACACAAAACATATATCTTTTGTTTTAACACTTCTATTTTTTTTTCTTTTTTTTTCCCTTTTTTTCCTTTTTTTTTTTTTTTTTTTTTTTTTTTTTTTTGGCAAACCAACATAGAGAAGCAGCTCTGGAACTGCCAAATTAAAAACTGAGAATTTTTGCAACTCAATAGTATTTTTTAAGGATAGTAATCAAATGTGGTTGTAATTTAAAACCTGAGGCTGTGCACTGGTTGTTAGCTTAAAACTACCTTTCAATATAACATTGTGCTTCCATTGTATAACAAAGAAAAAATTAACAAGAACTAGAAAAGTTTGCTGCTGAACAGTGCTAGGACATACAGACAAAAAAAAATACTTATACATGTTATCTACTCAGAATATTGATTTGAGTCATATTTAAAGGGATATAATGGACATTAGAAAATGCTTACTTGTGACTGACTTAGCTACTGCCAGAAAAGTTAAATATGTATCAAATAATGTTTAATTGAATTTATTATATGCACTATATACAGATACTAAAATGTCTTGCAGTTGTGCCCCATGAACACTTCAAATTTGAGTAGGCAGGTGAGTCCATGTGAAGCAAATAAATTATAAAAACAAAAATTACTCAAAACAACCTCTAATCTTTGTGATTCCAAAAAGCATAAGGGCAGGACAAATTTGTTTCAAATCAAGCACTATTATCTAATTTTGCAGAATTTGTATAGCTATTCAGTATGTTTTACCACTGAAACATGGCACTGTTGTCAAGGTACCATTTAAAACATAACAAAGCAAAGCAAAACAAAACAAAAAAAAAACAATGGACAGTTTTTTGTTTTTTGTTTTTTTTTTCTTCCCACCAAATCCAAGCATACAAGAAACTATTCTACAAAGATTTCTGTTTGTATTTCCTAGGGCATATGTCTCAAAAACAAGTTGCTCTTTGACATGTATAAAACATTTTTTGTAAACCTCTAATCTTAGACTTAACTTTTTCTGTAAGTAAATTATTAGTATTTGTTATGAATATTGTTCTATGACACACTAGTAGGAATCATGGTAAAAGAAAACTGAAAAAGAAGAAAGCTGCATAACACTTAAAAATACAGAAAACTTGGATTAAGATGATGATTAACATTGTTAAGGCTGTATATTCAAGCACTGTATGTTAAGAGAGCAGTGGATATGAATTTTAGGCAATAAGAAACGTCCTGCTTTATGCATGATACTGTAATTATAGAATGAGGATGTCAACAGCTGATTGTTGGCATAAACTGGCTACTTATAGCAGGTATGCAAGTTAATAGAGATAGCAGAAGATGGCAGAAATGAATTCTGAAAAATGATAGCCAGTTTTATCCAGCAGTCAGCCTGATAAGTAAAACTCCCAAGATTCTAGCTCTGCATCTAAATGAAATACTCTTTTTTCTCCTCTGCATTGACTTGGCTGCCTTCTGCATTGATAATGGCTGTGTCGGCATCAGGTGCATCTTCAGCTCCTTTTGCTTCATTTGTTAAATATGTTCCTACAGAAATCAGCACAAGAAAAAAAAAAAAAAAAGATTAGTTGTTTGTTTGTTTGTTTGTTTGTTTTAGTTTTACACTATATTATAGGAAGTATATTCCTAACAATACTCCAATTGCCTTATGAATGGACAAATATTATTATACAATTTTAGTGTGAATAATACAAGTATGTTCAAGTTTCTAATTTGTCTAAGAAATATTTATAGTATTAACACTGGTAATCCACATACACACATTCACATATATCCACATTAAATTAAGGAAATATCTTAAGAAAAGTCCATCGTATCTAGCTACAGTAATATGCAATATATTTTGCAATTATACAATAAGTGATAAAATCTTGGTTATTTTGATGAATGGGTACCCATAACAACCAAACCAACCTTGGAGATTTAGATATTCATAAATGCTTTATTTTTAATAGCCACTGTTTTTTGTACTTTTATTTCACATGATCTTATCCATGCATTAATTTTGCTTTAATTTTATTGAATTATATCACGGTCATTTCCAAAAATTACAAAACTGAGGTAGTTTCTTTAATTAAACCCACTCATATTATACTATCACAGACATTCATATGCTCAGGGTATGAATAGAAATAATTGTGTACAGTCGCCTTTTTCCTTTTTGAAAGTATGATTTATGGCGGCATAAGATGCATATGTTTTCATTCAGAAAAGCAATCAAAAGAGACACATTTTCACTAGCTTATTTTTCCCCCACATAGTCCAATCAAATTAAAATGGTATTTTTATCATCTTAGGTCTGCTTACCATATGATTATCCTACCTAAAGTGAAATTTAATGAGTTAATGCCAACACTAATCCTTTCTTCATAGTTTTGTTTTTTTTTTTTTGGGGGGGGCGGGAGGGTTATGGGAATCAACTGAGTTTTAACAAGTGGTCTGCAAGCCATTCAGAGGTTAAATCTCAAAAAACGATTTTGGAATTAACTAGGTCAAAATGGGATCATAGAGAGGCTTAGTCAGAAGTCAGTGTCACTCTATCCCTCTTATCTCTAATGGTGGTGAAGATTCAAAATGAAGGGAACAGAGTTCTTAAGGTAAAATATCTGACTAAAGTAAAGCTTGACCCAAGAATGATACCCTTATTCTGGTAGGACTATTAGTAGGGGAGTCACTGATCTGAAAATTCCCAATCAGTATTTAAAATTATCTTTTAAATGAATATTTAAAGTATCAGCAAAAAATCTTGTTATATGTAATATAATTATATATTATTAAATACTGATGTATTATTATCTTATTTTATATATATATATTATATATATATATATATATATATATATAATATATATATGCTGCTGAGCTGATCTACTAGTTAAAATCATGAAATTGTTAAATCAAGAGCCTATAGCTAAAGGCTAAAACCAAGAGGCAATCTTGTCTCTCAGTCTCTCTAAATCACTGACTAATTATATGGGCATGTAACTAAATATCCTTTGCCTTAGTCCAGTGAAAAACTGGATAAAAATTCAGGAACTTCACTCATGACTGGAGTGTTAACTGAGCTTGCTTGTCCAAATAATTCAGTAGATGGGGAAGGTGAAAGGGAACAGCATTCCCAGGTGAAATCATGCCTTGCTTTCAAAAGGGACTGAAGTTCCACTAAATCTATCCTACCTTTATGTCTTGCCAGGTATCGACCAAGGAGAATTATAGAACATAGCGTTACAAAGACAACTACAGCCACTATTCCTCCTATAAGAGCATGGTCAGGTCCGGTCTGTCCAGCCAAAGCATTTGGATCTAGAGGGAGAAACAAAAACCAAAAGTGGTCCTATACAGACAAAAATGACAGGAAATTTCACAATACCAAGTTTTATACTGATCATCCTGAAAATAGGGCATTTCTCTGTTTAATATTCAGCATGGTTATTCCCATTTTTACTACCAGTATCTTATCAACAACATAGTGCTGCTTGTATTCCCAGATCGTTAAAACCCTGAGGATATCACAGTTACAAAAAATATTACCTTCCTCTTCTTTGGCAGAGGTTATTAAATGGGAAAGGTTTTTGGTTTTGTCCTCGTCATTTTACAACTGAAAACCTGGCCACAGCTATTTATAGAAGGAAAAACAAGGAGCTGAGAATTGGGGATCAGATAGCATCAGCAGAATAGTGTCTGCATAATACATAATTTATAGACTTGATTCTCAGTGGGGAACCCTTATATATTCTCTTCCTCTCATTCCTATCCTATTGCACCAGAAATAAAAAGGCAGATAAAGTGCAGCCTTGCCAAGTTTCTCTGCACATGGCTGAGTCTGCATGAATTTGGTCAGATAAAGGTATCAGGCAACCTGAAAGATCATCATTCACTCTCAATCCTCAGTTTGAGAATTTACTGTGAATACTCTATTAATTCCCAAACTGAACAAGATGCAATATATACAACAGAGTACTAGGAGCTTCATTTCACTAACTCTGGGCAGGGTGCTACTGTAAATACTGTCAGATTCAAGCTTCTCTGCTGGTCATTTGTCTGTTCAGTTAGCTGGTGCTTTACAGAAGTTGCAAAAGGGCAATCATGGAGAAATGACGCTACTTAGGGATGAGTAATTCTTTGGAGCTTTTGAACAATGAGCCAGCAACCTTTGACTGTTGACTCATCTGAAATATGCAAAAGAAATAATAATAATAAAAAAATCAATCTAAGGATCCTGCTAAGATTGCTGTTTTTGTGAAAATGCCACTGCTACAAAGTAATAGTAATTCTCTCAAAATGCTATTAGCATGTTCTCTATGTTGCCGTCAGTCTACACACACTGCTTCAAGGCCATTTCCCTCGTAGGAACTATTTATATTCTACAAATAGTTTGCAAAAAAAAATCTTTGTTTTGCAAAAGAGAAAGGCAGGAAAAATATTTACACAGAAAAGAGGGCAACCCTGTAAAGATGATTAAATGGTCTCTGATAACATCTAGGAACTGCAATTTTGTGATACCATAACTACATTCTGCTGACCAGGATCACTGTATATAGATGAATTATATAGATGCATTATATAAGCATTATATAGATGAAATGAAAGAAGCATGCTTTTCACTCCTTTTGCAAACTGTCAGGCAGACTGAAACTGCACTTTCAGGATTGCTGGAACACAGAGCAGTGTGGTCCATGGTTATAGACACTGTTCTGCTCTTCACAGTCACTGAATCCATGAGACATGGCTTCTCCACTTATTGCTGGCTTCACAACTCCCAGCTGTTTCTCTTCTGGCTGCTAAGAAGACTTTGGGGGGAAATGCCTACAGCAATTCTGCAGACGTGACAGCAAACTTGTTAGGGCCCTCAAGAAAGCTAGAAACACTTCATAGCTGTACCTGCCTCCTCCTCTGTCCCTATGAGCCTCTTGGTATGATGCTACTGTCGGTTCACTATGCTGAGTATGGAGGATCAGTTTGAAAGGCCATCGGCTCTATTTTGGTGATCAAAAGTGACCCTGAGCTTCGTATGCCAGCAGCCTTGTGGAAAGAAACAAGAGGGCTGAAGTCTCATCACCCCAAAGCCACAGCTTGGAGCCATCCTTCCCCAAGCCTTGCTCTGCTTTCCATGGCGAGTAAGGAGGTGATCGCTCACTTAAGAAAATGGAAGGTGACAGCTTGCTGCAGAACTGTCAGCCTGCTAGAGCCATCTAGCAAATTCCTCCTTCTGTGGTGCCTGTGGCAAAGTTGCTGTAAACCTGCTCCCTGTGGCAATAAGGCAGCACAAATTTGGGCACTCAGGAGCAGCAACGTCCCCAGGTGCTGCATGCAAGCTGCAGGAGATGCTCTTCCTCAGCACCAGGCCAGGGACAATATGAACTTGTTTTCTCACTAATAGTCCTATATACTTGCTAATATACTAGCAGTAAAATTAATGAATTAAAGGAGGTATTTTGAGCGATAATATACTTCCTGATGCAGAGTATAATCCAAAGAAGGACTAGCATGGCACTTTATCTGGAGGCATTTTTTGAAAAGCTGATTGAAGTATACAAGCTCAATACTCAGATTTACACATTTCTCTTCTGTGAGCTTTAATAAACATTACAGATAAAAATGCTCACAGTACACTGTGATGAATATGCCTCTGTGTTTTCTTCCTCAGGTGATTTCCTATATATAGGACCTCACTCCTCCTCTGACATATGCAATTCAATGGACTACCTGAAGCTAGCATAAATATAAGGTTCCCCACATATAAATGAAGGTTAATGACATTCTACTGTTTCTGTTGGTTGACATTTTTAACTTTAAAATTAATTTTACCTTTTAATTGGAATGCAAAGGTAGCGTTGTATTTCTGGTAAAATCTCTTAACATTGGTATGAAAGAAAGATTATATTGATAAATACTGTCACACAAATTTGTCTACAAATACATTTTTTTTCCAGTATTACCACTGAAAAAAAATATCATTTATTTAAAAAAAATAATGAAAAAATAGATGGAAGAAAAGGAAATAAAGAAAGATCCTCAAAAGTGTCCAACATTTTCTTGAGAAACAAGCACTCTTTCATAGCAAAATGAAAATCTGCACAACATAAACAATACTATAAACAGAAAGAGCTCCTCATAGAAATATTATCCTCATAGAAAAATAATGTTAACATTAAATATAAATATGCCCTACATTATGCATACAGAGTAATGCACTATACATTTGCCATTCATGAAATGACCTAAGCCCCATGAGTGAATTATAGATCTGGGACTATCTACCATCTCATAAATAATTACTATGTCCAAAAGTGCCTGAATGGTATCTGAAAGGTACAGCAGTTTAGAAAATATGTCATTTTGTATTTTAGGTATTTATACAGTGAAGAAATACAATTATCCAAGTGCTCTGGGCATTTTCATTACCAACTCCCACTGGAGTTGGTGAAAGTGTTAAGTATGTATTTGGGTGCTGACCACTGCAAAGTTTGCTTTACAAAAACAAAACAATTATTTTTATTATTTTTAGATTATCATTATAAGCTTCATGAACTTTACCATGTAAATCTTAGCCTGCCACATACATATATCCAGTAAATGAAATCTTAATTATGCAATAAATACTTATAATTCAGCTGTTTCCAGGAAAAAAAAAAAAATCAGTCTGTTCCTTTTAAAAATATAGACTGTTTTTTACTGCATGAGCACAGGAAGTAACAATACTCATGGACTGAGACAATGAACTTCAAATTTCTTATCAGACTAGGTCTACAAAGATCTATTTTTTTTTCCTCTCTTTTGTTTTGTTTTTCAATTATTGAAGAGATTAAGAAAATTTTGTAGTAGAAAATGACAGAAAAGCTCGTAATTATTTTTGTTTGTTTGTTTGTTTGTTTGTTTCTGTCCTAAATGTAGGAAGTACCTTCATAATACTGATTGCTTATATTGTGAAATTCCATCTGTTTTCAGCTTCTGGGATTTAATGTTTGTTCACAGATTTACAGAGATATATTCAAAATGAGTAAGAGAAAAATAATGGATTGTTCATTAAGGAGTAAAACATCAGATAAACCTTACACCTATTAAGTAAGTAGATAAGTGCATTTTGTGACCTGATGACTAAGTTTCAGTGTAAAATATTTTTATGTGGTTTCACACATTAGTTAAGCAGAGAAATGCTGAAACATTTTTTCATGCTTTTGCATAAAGTATATGGTAATTATTCATCTAATTTCATTTTCTTCCTGCATAAGTTTCCTTCTTATTTATGCATAGTTGACTTAACTGGGCAGGCTGCAGGAAAGGGTCAGATAACCTTTTCCCGAGCCATGGGAGAACAGGCACATCTGTGAATGCTGAAATAGTTGCTGATTTAGGGGACTATGCTCAAGTAGTCCCCTTTACTGTAAAACTTTATTTTTGCGTATTTTTGGCACTGGTGTTAAACTAGAACAGTTACACAAAAATCACTTTGAATACGACATACCTAGTTCTGAGGGATCCAAAATAATTATTTAAACTGACCGTTTACTACTAAAATAAAAATTAGAAATAAAGGCCCTAATTTGCTCTGGAGCTTAAACAGCATTCACAAAATGAAGTCATATTAAGAAGACATATTATTTGTAAATTACCGTTCCTTAAGGCTGGAAAAAAGAACAGGAATGTCCCATTTCTCAGACAAGTGCTGAAACCAGCAGCCTACAGTTAGTTTTACTAATTTCATGAACAATCCATTACTCAGGCAAAAGAGAACTGTTCCATCAAGAGATCCTAGGGAATGGTAGCACGTCACAATTATGGCAGCAAAATCTCTTCAAGTGACTCCTTCTTTCCCCAGATTCAGGGGCTTATTATCTCTTTGCCAACTCTTCATGCTTTAGATAAAGCCATTGTTTGAAGGGCCTGGCTCAAAATCAGGTCAGTAAAGCAGTGTGTATTTAGGGGTGGAGACACCTTAAAAGCACTCCCCCACCACCCCACCCCCTCAAAAAAGAAAGAAAAAAAAAAAAAAGGCAAAAGCTCTGCCCTACTCGAAGAGCTGGTAAATTGCTGTAGATAAGGGCAGGGTGAGAATGTGTGGTGGAAGCCAATGAATATTTTGAAGTACCTTAGTGACAGGACAATATAATGCAAAAACAAGCAAGTAATGGACAGGGAACTATGCCTCTTCCATTTTTGGGTTCTCTGAAGCTCACCACTAAATATAAGTTAAATTAGAAATATTATATTAGAAATATCCCCCATTTATCTGCATTTCAGCTTGGTTTCCTAAGGAGAGAGTGCTTGTGTGATCATGCTCTTTCACTCTCTTCAAATTACTT